CATAGCTTCCAGGAGGATCTGTTCCATGATCTTCTCAGGCACAGAGGTGAGACTGACTGGCCTGTAGTTCCCCGGGTCTTCCTTTTTTCCCTTTTTAAAAATGGGGGTTATGTTTCCCCTTTTCCAGTCAGTGGCAACTTCACCGGACTGCCATGACTTCTCAAATATGATGGATAGTGGCTTAGCAACTTCATCCGCCAGTTCCTTCAGGACCCGCAGATGGATCTCATCGGGTCCCATGGACTTGCGCACCTTCAGGTGCCTTAGATGGTCTCAAACCTGATGTTCTCCCACAGTGGGTGGCTCTTCATTCTCCCAGTCCCCGCCTTTGCCTTCTGCGGCTTGGGTGGTGAGGCTCGAGCACTTGCCAGTGAAGACTGAGGCAAAAGAGGATGTCCTGGATAATGAGTTAATTTATGCTCACAGGCTACACAGATTTATACATTATGGTTCCATGAGTGATTCCACTTAAAAGAATGGCCAGCTCACAGACAGATACTGCAGTGCGAATGGAATGATTAATTTCTGTTATACAAACTGAGTAATAAAGGATACTTTCTGTGCTTGATATGGAAGTGTTTGACAGAGATGATTTCCAATAGCTGCGACATAGAGTTTCTCTAGCATGCTTCAAATTTTACTAGGTTACTGCTCCAGTATTTTGTGCACCACTGAGCAGTTTTTGAAAAAGCTTGTTAGCATGGAATTAGTATCATCACACACAAAATTTGTTTTTCCATTTATCTAGAAGGCAGACAAGATCCTGGAGAGTAGGTTTTGGGTGTGGGTTGTTTTTTTTTTTCTTTTTACAATTCTCCTTCTTCAGGCAATTCTTAAAAGAATCAGAAAAGCCATGGTAGTGCCCAGTAGAAAATATTTAACCTGATGCTATAAACCATCTGGCAGGAAGTTCTTCTGGAGACATTATCAGAACTTAGTGTGGTTTATGCATCTTCTCGTTCAGCTGCTTCTGGTAGAAGTTCTCATTCTCTCCCACTGGCATACTGAAAAAAAAAGATGCTCTTGGGGTCCGCTTAAATAAACATGTCTTGTTGCCAGTGTTTGATTTCCTTCTTTACCTTCCTTTCCAAAAAAACCCCAACCCAAACACATAAAACCTCTGTAATAGTGTGAACTATTAACTATAATTAACTAGCATATCTGTCATGCAAACATTTACAAGTGAATGAAAACATAAGGACACAATAAAACTTTGTACTGTCCACATCATATGATAATAAGCATAACAAAGAGAAATGCTTGCCATTTTCTCAAGGACCTTATTCATCTTGTATTGTCTTGTCTCCATTAAGTATTTTCTTCAGAAGAGGTAACTTTCTTGAAAAATGGTCATTGGGGTGTTTGTGTATGAATGTCTATATTAAAACGTAAGTGGAGTGGAATTAAAAAAATCTTTAACTGAAATCTGGGCATCAAAGGTGAGTTTGTAAATCAATATTAACATGTCTTTCTGAAATTATTAATGTGCTCAATTTGCCCTGGGTTTACTCTGATGTTTTCATATGACTGCTTCCACTGAACAGTTTACAGGATTGCTTTTTGTGCTCTGATTCTTTTCAGAGGTGTGAAAATAAAACCAGGCTAATTTGAGCTTCCTGAGTTTGGTAATAGCAAATGTTTGCAGTGCCCCGATGAAGACATAGTGGAGAGTGCTCTCAAAAAGAGAAATATTTTTTTGCTTGGATTTTTCCAAACTCAAATGAAAAGCCATTTGGACTTTTCTGAGAAACGTGTACATTTATACAGTAATGTATTTGGCTTGCCCCTGAAATTTCTAAACTTTGTGAGAAGTATTGTTTGTGTATTCATATATTTATTGATTCCAAGTTTCTTCATTTCAAACTAGAAATAATGTTTGACTCTTAGAGCACATTCAGTTGTCCTTGGTTCAGTTTTTGTATTTTTGACATTATATTAAGTAATTATTAATAGAAGGAAGACTAGCAAACTTGAAAGGACATCAAAGATTTCTATATTATTTAGTTTTGTAAGTCTTCAAAGGGAAAATTCTGATAATTTTTCTTTGTAATTTTTTCATTCTGTTCTTTTTTTCTATTCAATTTTGAAATGCTGTGAATTTTCCAAGTTCTTGATGACCGAGACACTTAATGCGAGAGCAGCTACATGAGAGATACACTCAGCCCAGTATTCTGTGTCCAAAAGTGACTGCTTAGGAGAAAGAGTATAAGAACAGGTCACATTTCCAACGATGCAGCCTTTATGTACTTTCCTGGCCTTTAGCAATTTGTAATTTTTTATGGTACCTCCTTTCCTGGTATTTGTCTCTGGTTATAGTTATGTTAATTGGGGATCGGACTGAATATCCCCTGTAACTTCATTTCTGTGGCTCCTCATCTCCCATTCTATCATCTGTACCTCTTGCTAAAAGGCATGAGCTATAATTGGATTTGAAGAAAACAGAAAACCAGTACTGTAGGCATAACATCTTTGGTTAGCATTCTTGCACCTGCAGCCAGTTCCTCAAAGATTTTAGTTACTTGCACTGTAAGGATTTCTGGGACAATGGTGAAATTTGATCCATTTAGGAATGGTGCAGAAATGGCCTGGCTTAGTATGTAGCTGTTTTAAAAATAAAGGTTCTGTACAATGAGGGTGAACTTTGGCATCCATATCTGAACTTCCACATCCATATAGTAGAGGAAAAGGCAATATAGTGTTTAATTTCTATAAAGAGGCAATCATGAAGAAGCGTGGAGTATTTAGTGGGAGTTTAAAATGAGTACCTAAAGAGAAAATGCTTGCAGGTTATCTGGGCCTCTCTAGTACTCAGTGCTAACTGCATGTGTGTGCCACTGGTGAAAACATTCGAAGGGAGTGAACACCCTCCCAAAACGGGATGAAACTTTATTTAATCGTTTTTATTTAAAAATAATTCCAAGGGTGGGTGAACAGAAGAATAAAGAGCTTCTGGAGGTTAAAAGAAAAATCAAATCCGGAACCCAACTGTTATTTTAAAAGTACTTGTCATGTCCAAGTAAGGAGAATGGAAAAGAGCGTTAGCCTAGAAGACTTAGAAGTAAGCTTTGATAAGAAAGATTGAAAAATTATCTTGAGGGAATTACTTCAATTTTGAGTTAGCTAAAAGCATAAAACTAGCAGTTAAACTCATTGGAAGCAAGAAGCCTGCAGGAATGTGGTGTTGAAAAAACCTGATCAAGGTGTAATTAGAGCATTTAGGAAAGATAAGTGCATGCCAGAGGAACTAATGAACTATTT